AAAAAAATGATGCCAATTATAAGAAATCAGTGGTGCCAATGCTGGCAAATATAATAATCAATGATGCCAAATCTGTCTTTTATTTTGAGATTTGCCCCATGAAACTCTTTAATCAAGCCGATCAAAATGAGCTCCAGCTTTTATCTCCCACCTGGACGGTCGACACCTGCCAACCCTGAATTATTCTACTCACGCCATGCCAGAATGCAAAGTCGCAGCTGTCTGAGTATTATCAATGCGCTCTAAAGTTCAATCGGAATCTATCAAGATGCGGCCATGCCCAGTAATTCCCTTAATTGCGCGCACTCTTTGTACTGCTCTGTGAGTATTTTTGTATTTATGCAACAGTTTCTCATCGGGAATTATTCTTTGGAAAACAAAGCCAATGGCAATTAAAGTAATTAAAACGAAAAGCGTTAATCGACTCGGGACAATCTCCAATACCTCAAAAGAAACCGCAATAAAGATATTCGACACGCCCACACGATATGCATCAACATAAAGCCACTTGGCTATATTTTTAGAGATTAAAAAAAGCAACCTATTTTTTTAATATTTCTTTATTATGGGTCTTTTTTTTTTGGATTAAGACTTATTATTGTTTCGCATATGAAACATGAATTGTAATTTTCTAGGACCATTCTTATCGGATTTCCTAGAACCTCCCAGGGATTTCGCTCTTTATTAAAAATATATATTTCCCCACTTGTCATTTGTCGTTGCATTTTCACCAATCCCCTCTACCGCTTTCCTTCCTAGGCAATTTTAATAATAAACAACCCTTTCCGTTCCAACGTTCCCGTCTCCCGCCTTCATCATGATCTATACTTTCCCTCCTTACCGCCAATAGACATTTAAAGTGGCAGCCATTTAAATGTAATTTGCCGCACATTGCAATGCGAAATAAAATAAAGAAAAGTGTATCTATATCTGGAGGTTTGTCGCTGGCTTGTGGCTCACCTCGTTTGTGGGAGGGCCTGGGGAATAGGGTGTAAAATTAACGATTTCCAGTGAACGGGCGAATGTGCCAGACATGATGGCGTCGACATCGGTTGCCATTGTTGTTTCTCGTTAGTCTTGGCAGTTCTCCTTTTCTTCCTACACTTTATCCATTTCAACGATGTCTATGTCTATTCCCATTGTACATGTCCCCCGGTTAATGCTAATGTAATCGCATCGATTAGTGGGGACTGTGGAGATGGCTTGGGCAGTTAAAGTTCCTCGACCACTTCCTTGTGGACTAGATTTATGATTATTACAGTTCATGAACTATTGGTAAAGAGTCGCAAAAGCATAGTTTATAAACATCCCTCTTTTCAGTTTTTTAACTAAATAATATTAATTTAATGTAAAAAATAAATATGTATTTAGGTTTACCTTCGCTAGTTCGAACTTTTTTTTCTGCAAATTTAACTAAAGAGAGATTGATGTATTTTTAATAACAAACTTTTGCGAAATATTCAAAGGTGATATCGAAAAAAAGTTAAAATTAAATTTGCATTTATAAAAATTATTTTAAACGTTCAATGTTTTGCAAATCGTTTGGAAATTGTCATTGAAATAAACAGCGAATTGTATTTTTAACTTACCACCCAATAGTAATAATATTAATATTGCATAACATACCTTAAATGAATAAAAAATATTTTGAAGAGGGCTAAATATAGATCAGACACGATTATTGCATGTGTTCACAAAGCCCAGACAACAAGCGGCAATCAATAAATTAAATAAATAAAAGTATAAAAAATGAAAAAATAAATAACCACGACTCATCGAGTAGGCAATAATTTAAAATGACATGACAAGATATACTTATGGAAAAAAATCATCTTATTTTGCAGATAAAAGTGGGCGACGAAGAATGATCTTTAGTGGCAGCTGAAGAAAGGGGAAGAATTCCTTTTAGACTGGCCCGAAAGCCAAACAAAGCCATCGAGACCAGAAGAATAAGAGAGAAATCTTCAAGCCAGACAGCAAAGTAAACAAGAAGAATCGTTTCAAGAGAGATCTCCACCTCTTCTGGGCCAACATACATTACTCTTGGCCATAAAAGACTCGCCTCTGGCCTACACTTCATCACCCCGACTCCTTAAACCATTTCCATAAGATAATTGTTTGTGTGCTGTATCTTTTTTTTTCTTATTTTCCCTTACTTGAATATTATTTTTGGCATGTTTTGCGGCTTTTTTGGTTTGCCTTCTGCATCGTTTTTTCTCATTTTTTGGGATTTCGGTTTTGTTTTGCTTTTGTTGTCTGCTCTTTACTTTTTGTGTTTTTTTGGCCATTGTGTTTTGCTCGGCTGGCTGCAAGCATTTTGTGCCAAAAATAAATGCTGACATCATCCCAAGCAAACCATTCAGCCGCAGCCACACAAAAATCGAGCTCACTTTTATTTATGGGGCAGGGGAAGTCAGGAGGAGGCCCTCTCGATAAGGAGAGTGGCGCAAACAAACACCACATTTCATTCGCCTCTGCCTCTCTCTTGAGTGAGATAAAGCCAAAGTTCTTCAAGATGATGCCTAATTGAAATTCTAATTGGTCTGGGGAGTCGTCGTCGTCGGCAGCTTCCACTTCCATTTCCATTCCATTGGCTCCCTCCCCAAAAATGTACTGACGAAACTAAAGGAACACCCGGTTCCCTGAGATTGTTGACCTTGAACTTGAGTCGGTTCGGTTCGGTCCTCTTCTCTCCGCGGTAAAAAGTTTTGGGACTGAGAAGAATATCATCTTCTGCGCTTTTCAAGTGCATTTGCACTGCATTTGGGCAGAGAGATCGAGTTGTATGCAAACATTTTGACGGAGCTGTACTAAAGTTTGAGGAGATTTAAAGCTAACCAGTCAAATCAGTTAGTTTGAAACTCTTTGGAGATAAATATCGAGGTGTTTTAAAACCTTTAATGAAATTGTTCTAACGTCGAAGAAAGAACGAAGCTTATTAGTCAAATAAGTTAGTTTATAATAAATTTTATAACTGATTTTACCTTTGATATTTCAAAATTACTCGTATGAAACTTAAGTATTCTATTTTAGTAAACTCGAATGCGTCATAAAGCATTATGTTATCACCGTTTAACAAGTAATAGCACCCAATTATCTTCGCAAAGATCAGATAAACTTGAACATACGGCATTCAACATAGTTGAAGTAAATCAAAAATTTCCTGATTAATCATCCGCAAATATACTCGCTCCTTATATAGCACACATTAGGCGCTATCTTTGAACTTTACAAGTGATTCACTCGTGAGTCACTTATACTTTCAAATAGTTTTCTGAGCTAATACGCTCATCTCCAATTTAAATGGAAGCTCACTTTAATTTCCTACAATTGCGTCATTTATTTTATATAAATTTTAGAGAAATGAAATTAAGGGGCATACTTTTTGACATTTGTAGAATTTTTGTGCCACACAAAATGTAATTTATCAGGCGTTCGCAGACCCTCGAAAACATATGAACTTGTCTTGTCATGGATACCTAATTTAGTGCGCCATTCCCCAACAAAGCCTCGCCTTTGTGGGACCCCATTTTTATTTATTTTGGGGTGGATGGGGAACTATCGAGAGACCCTTTTCACTTTTTGCGCAGTTCGCTGCTGGCGAGAAATTGCGTTGTGGCCAGACCACCACCACCTCAAAGGAATTGCTTTTTTATTGCTTATGAGCTAACGCATCATCATCATTATCATCATCGTCGCCGTCATCGAGGAATAAATGCACGAAACACGAAGAAAAAATTACAAGAGAAGTCAAGTTTAGAAATGACATCATTCCAAGTCAAAACCAAACCAAAAACCGAAACCAAACCCAAGAAAAAATTCGCACAACTTTTAAATGCGTTGAATGTTGATTGAATAGTTGGATGAGGGAGGGGAAGAAGCTTCCTTCCTCCCGCCAGATTGGTTTTTTATAATTAAGAAAAAAGGTGGAATAAAAACAAAGAAACCCTAAGGGCCTCGCGACTGGATTATAAATTGACTTGGACCACGAAAAGGATGCATTTTGTGATTGCTACATGAATCACCTGCGGAATGACGCAACATGATTGAAAGCTGAAGGTAAAACGAATTGGCGAATTCTTGAGAGCGAATTCCTAGTCCGGTTTATAAAATAGCTTAAAATCTTTTTAATTTTAAAAGAATTAAAATTTATTCCTAAATAATTTTAAACACATAAATTAATTTTATCAATGTTATATGTACAATACACAAATGTTAAAGTTTTGATTTTTAATTAAAGAAATCATGCTTAAACTGCTTAAATTTAAATCATGCCGATCTAAAAATATCATTAAAATAAAATGTGTTTTTAACTGTGAATAAAATTTGGAAAACACTTTTTGTTGTTTAATTATTACGTTGGAGGTGAAAAGCATCACAAAAATTATGGATAGTTAGTATATAAATAGGGAGCTTCTGGGAGTCCACTAAAGTCTGTTAATTAATTTAAGTCTGTTTGTTAATTTATTATTTCTTAGGTTCAGCAATTATAGTTTAAATATTTTTCATCATTAAATACATACTGAGTTGTTAATATGTATTTATTTATCTTGTTATTGTCGTTTAAGAAGTAAAATATATATTTTGATTTCGTTCTATTGTTAATGTATTATGTTTTTATTAGAATTAAAAATGGCTAAGTAATATAAATATCATTAGTTAGTTATTTTATCATTTTCTATAACAATCTTAAAGTCTTTTAGGAGGAGGAGTACTATTTTTATGAAAGACTACTCCGATTCGCCATTTTCGCGTATTTGTGCATTTAAACAATAACCACCGAAACTAAACCCACACGAAAAGAACTTAATCGAAGTACACAGTTTAACATTCAGCGTGCAACACACCACAGGCCAAGCGATTAGGAGAAACACCAAACATTCACGAGGAAGGGGACACAAAAATAGGATAAAAATCAAGCGACAAGTAGTAGACATGGAAATTAGAGCCCGCAACCGGAAGAATTGAAAGGAAGAGTAGTGATCGACCCACACACCGACCTGTTGATCATGGTATCCGGTGCACCACCTGCTGCACCATTTGCACCACCAACTGCACCACCGCAAGTGGCTGCCGCAGCGACGGCGGCAAAAACGGTGGCGCATTCCAGCGGTGATCGTGGTCTTCGATCGCCAGACATGATCGGCACTTGCAATCGCTGGAAGGCAGGATCATAGCTGAAGGATATGCGTGCGCTGGTGGTGTGGTGCGGATGGGGATGATGATGTCCTGGCATTCCGGACGTTTGAGCTGGCGAAGAGAGCGACGACGTTTCCGGCGAACTGGCATAGAAGGGCGAGTGTGGATAGGCGTAGATCGAGGGACTGGCGCTAAAGGCTCCAATATTCGAAGGTCCTGCTCCGCCCACCAAATTAATCGAGGACCCGATTCTCGGTTGCAGCTGCGGTTGATGCTGTGGACTATTGCCGGCACTACTTGGTATCGGTATCGCTCGACTGGCCGATCGAGTGTATAGCGTTGGCGAAAACTGATCTATGGCCTCCTCGTAATCCTCCTCTGTGCTCGAGCCCATATACAGATTCGTATCGCTGACCGCAGCACCGCCATTCGGATTATTCGTTGTTGGCCACAGCGATTCGTCCACGCAAAAGGAACTTCTCCCCGACTGCGATTTGTTGTAGTAATAGAGCTGCGGGTTCAGTCGATGCATAAACGTTGGATCAGTGGGCCCTCCTCCTATATGCGGATTACTAAAGGCCCGTTTCCGATTTCCGCCGGGTAGCGAGGAGGAGGAAGCGGTTCTAAAGCTGAATTTTTCATTTGGATTCGGATTCATTTGGATGTGTTGGCAAAGCAAAAGGTCGCACGCAGTTTAAATAAAAAATAAAAAGTTTATAGGTATAAGAGAGAGGTTGGAAGAAGCTTTTAGATATATAGATTTCATTAGATTTGTTTCGTTCGCCAATTGAAATTATAATGAAATTTCCATAATTTTTATTGGGTAGGGAAGGAGGGAAAGGATTCGGTGGTGCCAGGCAACAAGAGTCGATTCGGTGTTGCTGCAATGAAGTGATCAAGTTGCGATTCGAAAGTGAACTGTGATCGGTGGCAAACAATTTGTGTGAAGTAACCACACAGAAAAAAATGGACGAAGGATCAGATTGATATGTGCAGGTTAATTTGATATTTTTTAAAAGATCACGTTATTCATATCAATTTGATATGAATAAAGATTAGGTTAATCTCATTTTACAATATTTGTTCAAAAAATACTATATTTGGTATTTTAAAACAGTATTTTTATAACTTATATGAAATGATAAAATATAAAATTGATATTTTTGAATTTCAGTGACCCCATTTCATATCGAATTTTTTTTTCTGTGCGTGTGAATTGATTTTGCCAGATTGGACAACTGTTTTTAAGTTTATCGGTTTTTGTAAGTTGAAATGAATTTGTTGTATGTTTATCCACTCAGCTTTAGGGTTTTTGTTGACCTTGAATTTAATCAATGGTTTTACCTGCCAATAAAGTTTGTTTTGCATGTTTTTAATCGTTATGGAAATGATTTTCAACATAACAAAAATGACATGATTTATGTTAATATGTTTTGTAGTCTTGTATAAAATTCATAACATTCTTATATCTCACGCTAAATATTCCCTGTCACCATCGCCCGCTACAAACTTCAAAAATCGGGGAGGAAAAATCGACTTCAACCCACAAGAGAAGCTGACTCAATTTCCACTTCATTTGCCAGCACAACAGCGGCAACAAGGAAAATTATGATGCAACATTTGCGGCAACGTGTCGATGCGCTCCAATTCTCAGCGTAAACAACATCCAACTGCCGAGGATGCAACATCGAATTTAGCTGCTGCAGCAGATGATGGATGTGGCATGCCACATGCAATTTATGCTTCGAAAAATAAAACTGGCAAAAAGAAAATCGAGGGAAGTGCAGAAATTTGTCAATTACGTTGTGGCAAATTAATCTCCTCAAATAGGGTAAAAACGAACATTTCCTTTTGAAATTGTTTGATCTGTGACAGAGTGACGACAACTTTCTTTGAGGGTGAAAAACATATTTCCGCTTAACAAAGTCAAGCTGATTTTCTTTCTGCAGCTAAACGCATAAATTAAAGTCAACAAGGCATGGAAATCGAGGATTTTTCTTCAAAACTTTTCATACTCGTACTGAAAATAAACGCAATCATTGACATCCAGAAAACACAAAGGCGCAACTGTGGAAAAAACTAGTGCGAAAAATACTCAAGAGAAGTCTGTGCTATCCTAACAACAACTATATTCAACTGCAGTCCATCCGCAATTTTTTCCTTTTTTTTTACAATTCTTTTTCTCCTGTGGTTTTTGGATTATACTCAGTAGTATAAAATAGGGCTCACATGTCTTTTGTTGCCTTTGCTTTGGGGTTTGTGGTTTCCCTTTTTTTTGACTGCAGCAAAAGTTTTTCTTTTGCAACTTTGTTATTTTTTTGCTTTCTTGCTACGCTTTTAATTGTTAATTTCAAGTTTTGGTATAGTTTTTATGTGCGGAACATTACAAACATTTTTAGAGAACAAGATTTTATATACGGCCAAGAAAATTAGCAAAAAATGTATTCTGTTTATTTCAAAATTTAGTTTAAACAATTTTTTTAATAAGGAATTCCTTTTTTTTATGGCCAATTACTAAGACAAATAATAACAATTTTTAAAAATGGAAAATGTGGAGAGCTTTTACTACAAAGTTAAAAATTATTACAAATATTATTCAATTAAATGAACATAAATAAATTGTACATAAAATATTGTACGGACAATTTAATTGGTCAACTGATTTTCATTGTCTGCACATACATATGCATATATTTAACGCTACTTTACTCATTTAAAATATCCGTATCCGCCGATTTTAAATTATTATTATTTTGTTTTAACTCCTTAATATTTGATACTTTCTCCCTTTTTCTGAAGTCATTCTCTTGAAAAATCCAGTGTCATTTTGGCAACTGGGTTGTCATCATCCTTTCTTTCACCACTTGCAGCTTGCATAATAGCAAAGTAGCAAAATTAGCATAAAATGAACAACACAAAATGGGTAACATACAAAAAAAAAAACGAAAAATAGAAAACGACCCCATTGAAAACTATGGAAAATTGCGGCTGCATTGTTGTTGCAGCAACAAATTAAATGCACATTACATGCAACATTTTTCCCCTTCCAGTGCCATTTTCATTTACCATTGTGTTTTACCGCACTGTTGTTGTTGTTCAGTGTGTCGCCCCAAAGCCAACAAGGAAATAAAAGTTCAAAATAAAAAGAAAAGAAAAACAAGCATTTGTTGTTGAACAAAATTAGGTGAATGGAGCTCAACCCGAAAGAAAATTCCAAAACGGGAGCCTCGAAAACTGCGATCAGAGATAAGACAACAAAAAATCGTTGAAAAGAAATTTTCAGTCAGCTCAAAGGAAAATTTCGGTTGAAAGGGGGGAAAATTAATCGCTTCACCGTTTTGTTTTCGCAGTTTATCTGCGAATTTTCATCGCTTGCTTCTGCTGCTGCTGCTGTTTTCCAGCTCTTGACCACTTTTACTCGCCAAGCCAAAATTTATTTGCGAATTGTCTTTCATTCGTTTCTATTTACGTAATTTGATTTCAAATGTTTGCGGTTTTTATTCGCAATTCGGCAGTTTGATTTGACAGCACAATTAGCTTGAAAGGACAGCAGAAAGGATTGCGTAAGCGCGAAATGGGATAGAAAAAATATAGGAAAGAAAAAGAGGGGACACAACACCAAAAAATTAAACTACAAGTGTGTATACAAATATCCGCATGACATTTCATTTGGACTTTTTTTGATATGTAAAGATTTAAATTTACTTTAGAGGGTAGAAAATAATATTGTGATAATATAACATTATCACAATACAATACATTACATTATTGTAGTGTAAAGTTTTAGAAAAAATATTTTTTCCACTTAACAACAAAATCAATCTCTTATTAAAGTTTAAAATAAAATTTTGTTGTTCATATGGATTTTATTTGCTCATTGAAAATTGAACAAATAGAATATTAAAGGAATTGATTTTCCTTTTTTACGTTCAAAACCATTTTTTTTATATACCAGACAATAGAAATTTCTAAACAGTAGTTTACTTTTATTTTTTCCATAGAATAGAATTCCAAAAAATGATGGTGCGGATATGATCAAAACGATAACTGCCGATTTACAAAGTGTCTCTAGATTAGTTTTATTTACAAGTTAGTTTTTTGATGCATGAGTAAATTATTTATATGCATTAAATGGCAAGACAGAGACAACGATAAAGATAGATAAAGAGTGGAGATAGAAAGAATGCATGTTTGATGGGTGTTTTTTTGGGACAAAGGATGACATAGTACTCACATACACACAAAGGATAATAAGGCACAATCATTTCAGTTTACTTTTGGTTTTTCTGCTTACCTGAAAATAAAAGAAAAAGAGTTTTAGTAATTTTTAAATTTAAGTTTTTAATAATATTAATAAAACTATCATATAAATATTGTTTAAAATTTTATATTTAAAAATCAAAACGACTACTTGTTTTGAACTGCTTTTCATTATTTTTGTATAGCTTTATTCCGTTAGAGGGCGCTAGAAACAGCACTGCTTTGTATTTCTCGAAGTATTTATTTCTGCCGCTAGAGGGTGCAAAATATAAAACTGCTTTGTTGACTACTTACAAAACTGCCTTGTACAGTTTGATTTCATTATTTAGCAAAGCACAATTACTCTAAAACTATAAGAAAAGTACAATTCCACTAAAACTGTTAGAAAATAATTTCGACGACTAAACTGCTTTGAACAATTTCTAAGCAGTTCAACGGAAACTCCGTAAATATTATGTCATGTAAAATACCATTTCCGGTGTGTAAAAATGGTGTAAAAAGCCCATTTTTAAAATAAAGTAATAAATAATGTTAATATAACTGAACTTTAGCAAGCTATGGAAAATCCAACTATATTTAAAACATAAAAATTAAATTAATTTTAGAGTAAAACTAAAATATTAATTTCTTTAAATAAATAAATTACAAAATAATACAAACGAAAATCCAACTACATTTAAAAAGCCACCTAATGTCAATGGCTCCTTACTTAATAAAATCAAGAAAAATTTCGACTTAAGCAAAATTATAAAAATTTCACAAAAATAATAGTAATGCAATCCTAAACAATTTTTAGAATGCAAAATGCATTTGTTTTGTATAATAGAAATAACTTTTTTTATTTTGAAATACATTTTTTTAGCGAAAGCTAAAAAACCGAAACGCAATAAAAAAAATGTGTTTACGCTCGCCACAAATTTTTTTAGATTTTTTTATTTTGTAAGAAAAATGGCAACAAATACAAACAGGGCGATAATGTGGATGTGCAATGCACAAAAGCGATCAATAACAAAATCGGAAAGAGAGCAAGAGAGGGAGACAGAGAGAAGACGGTGAAAAAAAAACAGAAAACAATAACAAAACAAAACAGACGGCGATAGAATGCAATTAGAAGACGCAGATTGAGAGAAGTAGGAAGCGAGAGAAAAAAACAAAAATCATTCACGTGTGTAAAAGACAACCGATGTAAGAGAGTAACAGAGAGTATCGAGAGAAGAACAAAAACTTGAAAGATAAGCGATTTAAAGCGCCCTCTCTTTCTCTCCTCTCGCAGAATTGATTGACTTCGCATTTGTCGCATTTGTTTTGTTTTTGTTTTGCATTCTCTTTTTTCCGTCTATAATAAAAATAGCAATTTGCGCACTATTTT